GCGATGCACCGCAGCTCCAGCAGCAGCTCGTCGCCGCTGGCCCGCAGCGAGTCCACAAGCACGTGCTGCAGCAGCGCCACGCGGTGCCGGCTGTCGGGGCACTCCTAAGGAGCTGGGACAGGGGGAGACCCCTCAGGGGGGGAACATCGACCTCCTCCTCCTCCCTCTTCCCTCCTCCCTCCTCCCTCCTCCCTCCCCCCCCCTCCTCCTCCTCCTTTTTCTCATCCTTCTCCTCTTCCTCCTCTCGCTCCCTCCAGCCCCGCCCTCTTGAGTGGGAGCGATACGGGGGGGGAGTCTCAGGAGGGGGAACATCGACCTGGAATCGGCGATACATCGCCGATACGGTAGCCAAACAGGATAAGATATCTTGCTTTCAGAATTCCTGGGGCATATTTGTCGTCGATCTTCTAGGGTTCTAGAGTGCCACAGAGCGTCTGTGGGTCCCCGGGCGGCTGGAGGATAAGAAATTTCCGTGGGGTGCCTGCTGGTAGGCCGCCTTCTTATTCGATGGGCCGCCGAGAGCGAATCCACACGCTCCTTGGCGGGGTGGGCTATCGGGTCCCCATCACCGATGATTGGGCGTTTGGTGGTCGATGCACCCCAACCCTGAATCAATCTTCCCCAAACGATGCCCCGGAACTCCTCAAGGAAGGTCTCGAACGCGCGGAGCTTCAGGACCTGGGAGGACTCAGGAGGAATCGCGCTGGAGTGATTGTCCCAGGTTTTGCGCCCTTCATGGGACGGCTTCGGACCCTGGGGCCGCCAGCTGACGGTCCAGGATGAGAGACTTGCCAGGATGTGGACCGATTACGGCCGAGCTTTGAGGAGAGGCCCTCAATCTCGGGCGTCGCAGAAGGAAAATCGTGACGTGTGTGTTTCTAGCATTTTAGCACTCTGCGATCTCTAAAAGCCTTATCCAAGCCCAGGGACCGTCAAAACGTACTCAGGATATCTTCAAAAATGAGCGGGGTAAGAGGTAGATAGCTCCAGTGGACCACGTCACGAAACTCTGTGACGCCGGAGACAAAGACAACCACATACACACACCAAAACCGATCTTGGCCTGGCCGGTCCCACCACGGGTCCTGACTCGGCGCGAACGCCTCGCGTGCCAAGCTAAGAGAGACAAACCACTCCATACGCACATGCACGTGTCGGTTTCGGGCTTGTATGCAGCTTGCAAGATGGCCCAAGATGCTCCTCGGTGGTCCCCGTCGAGACAGGAGGAAATGCGCGCGTCCGAGCGATGCCAAGAAACACCCTGGGCTGCCCGCGCGGACTTCTCGGATCGGCGCCGAGCCGCCCCTGGCGCGCGAGGCGCGCGGCAGGGGTGCGGCGCCCGAGGCGCCGCCAGAGAGGCCGCCCGCTGATCCGAGGCAAGTCCGCGCGGAGCTCCGTCAGTCTGTGGTGATGAAGCCTTGCCCTGGGCGGCGCGCACAGGGGGGGGGGGCTGGGGGGAGGGGGGGAAGGCTCCTTAGCAGGAGGCTGCTTCTTAGCAGGCGCGAGCCGTGCGACGCAAGGCCCTCACCTTCTGAGGAGCAGCCTCCTCTCAGGAAGCCTCACCCCTCCCCCTGCCCCCCCTCTGCGCGTGGCCGGCTGTTCTTACTCGAGAGCTGGGAGGCATGCTCATCGATTCGAGCCTCAAGGTTGGCCAGACCAGGATCAATACAGGTGCATGGCTGGCTTAACTCCGAGGACCAGCCCGGAGAACGGCTCGTGGTTGTCTATGGAGGCAAAGATGTGCTTGTTCCCAAATCTCTGCCGGATGCTGTCGGCCCCCGCCTGGATGGTGTCTCTGACCTGCGGCCGCTCTGGTGCGCCATCGACCCGTAATATTCCCAACGCAGATTATTCATGCGGTACGTGTCCCGCGGGAGCGAAGCAGCCACGTGGCTACTGCAACAGCAGGCGTGGCGCGAAAGATCCTGGACCACGCGCGACCCTAATTAGGGGCATGCTTCGGCCCAAGGCATACGCACACAAATGTAAAGGGAAGACATGTAACGCGAAACATCTCATACCGTAGACTGGCAACGCGTCATATAGCACCGCGTGGCAAATCGTGGCACAGTTATATTGTGGAACACTTGATATCATTCCATAGCGCAGCCTTTGATAGCATTTAGGCAACACACAAAGTTCAGCCAGTGATACCGCTGCATAACATACCACTAGATTCTAACCAAGCGCGAAGTTGTAGACATAGCACTGCTGCACATAGTAGTAATGCACATGGCAAGTCATCGCACACAACAGTAATGCACATGGCAAGTCCGCGACTGCGTCGTTGGACTTTAATGGAGTGTTCTCAAGGCCCACGAATAGTCATTCGCGTCATCACTACTGAATGCTGTGAGACTCGGTCAAAAGCCCCGGACCCCCTGATCTCATAGATTCTTGAGCGCTTTCGTGCGCTCGTGGGCGTTTCTGGAGGACTTCCCGCGACACTTCCCCAATGGCCTGAGGGGTAGTTTGGAATCCAAGCTTCGGAAATGCTCTGAATTTGTCTCCGGGGGCCGAGCAGGGGCTGTCTTGGATGCCGACTAGGCCGTCTTGGAGAACATAAGTTCCAACATCTATATGGCTTGAGGACAAACGGTATATGTGACACATGCACGTGCAAGCCAAAGCCGTTGAAACGTTGGTACGACTTTAGCACTCTCGGAGTATCAATGTCGGAAAACCGAGCGGGCACAAGTGCGAGTCCTCAAAGATCGTCCCAAGACGACCCGAAGCACCAAAGAAAAGGCCAAGAGCCTCCAGGAGGAGCCCACAAGCGGAACAAGAACCGACACTCGAGCCCTCCACCCCAAGATGACCCCGGGGGAGGCCACATGAATTTTGAATGAGGGTCGCCATCTCACTGCATGATCACGAGAGGTTCTCCAGCCGAACGCTGCAAATGGCACGTCGCAGCGGCGCAGGCAGATGGAGCGGCGCCGCCTTGAGCAAATGCTGCGGCGGGCGAACAACGCAGTATATCTGTTATATACATATATGTATACATAATAGGTGTATACATTAATGTATACATATAAACAAATACATGAATGCATATACATATACATGTACAAGTGCGCTCCTTGAGGCATTATGCCAAAATCATGGTGCTCCACAAAGGCTGGCTCAGAAGAGGCCCCCGAGATGCCTTCAAGAGATCCCCTAGACGTTTCCGAAGAGACCCCGAGAGGCCTGCAAGGTGTCCCTCGTCCACGACACAAGTACGGTGGCGGAAAGGACCGAAGGTCACTGGATCCGCGGCCCCTGGCGACTGCAAGACGGCCCAATTACCCCAAGTTGGCCTCCAAGATGCCTCTAAGACGGCCAAGACGGGCCAAGATGGCCTCCAAGACGCCTCCAAGGCGGCAGAGATAGTCCCGAGACGGCCTAAGATGTCCTCTCCAGACGGCCCAAGAGGCCGTTAAGACACCCCAAGACGGCTCAAATAGGACCTCCAGGAGAACAGAATCACTGATCCCCCGTAGGCTGTTCAATGATGTTAGCGTTCTCGCCTTTTAATCTGGCCTCGGACTCCAAGACCTCTAGGCCCCCAAGAACGCGCAACTACGGCCCACGTCAGCCCCAGAGCGTAGCATGGCAACACACGCAGCGCACGACATAGCATGGCACGCCACAGCATGGCATGACATACTATAGCATAGCACCCGCTGCGTCCTGGGCCGGGACCGCCATGACCCCAGCACACTACCTCGACAGGCGGCGCCCCAAGCAAGCCAGGAGGCAACCCCGGGCGGAGTTAGCCGCTGCAACAAAAACCTCGTGAGACAAAGCCTGGTTGGGGAGGGGGGGGGATAAGAGTGTCCATCCTGTGTTCAACTGCCAGTTCGGAAAAGATACCAGGGTGGCACTATTAACCGACACCGCGCCGCTCACATTGGCTGCTGACTACGCCCTCACTGCAGATACGAGCGTGTCTGCCGCTTCAAGGACACACCTCCTGCAATTGCTCGCTGCCGTTGACCTTACAGCAGCAGGTGCCATCCCTTGGGAGAGCATGGCCAGGCGGAGCAGGAGGAGGAAGTAAAGATCGTGGGGAAACGTAGGCCAGGAGAACCTGCCGAGATCCCCCGATATTCGAGGGCGTCCAAGAGGAAGGATGCCACATCATGGACGGAGGCACGTGCACGGTCGAGAGAGGGGGGGGGGCAGGGGACGTTCTGAGATACGAAGAGGGGCCATGAGATCCAGGGAGATATCATGGCCCTGGCCATGATCTCCATCCATCCCTGGTCCATCTCCATGACCCCGAGATATCCAACGATGCCACACGACCCCTGCCTGGATGAAAAACGGAGGCCCCCTGTCCGACCGTCCAAAAGTGGGGGAGCTGCGTCCCCAACCGCTGTGGGAGAACCCGTCGTATGGCCTTGCATGCTCATTCTGGGGACCTTCCTGGAGCCACTCGCTCCACTCGTGCGTCGAAACTGCGTCGAACCTGAGTCGAACCTGAGTCGAACCTGCGTCGAACCTGAGTCGAACCTGAATCGAATCTGAGTCGAATCTGAGTCGAACCTGAGTCGAACCTGAGTCGAACAGATCTGTTAGGTAGGCCCCAGGAAGGTCCCCAAAGCGAGCATCGAATATGGACCGTCTCTCGAGGGGATAACAAAGCCGACGGGTCCGGCAGGAGGGTATACGGAACACACCTCCCCCCAGTTCCTCGGAGGAGGGCCAAATTGAGACCACGGCGGCTCCCTCCCGAGGATGGGGTCCATCCTGCCCCGAGGTTCGAGGCGGACCCAGCGGTGGCGAAGAGAAACCGCTGGGAAGCCAAAGTGGGCGAACAATGGCAGGAAGGGCCGCCGTGGTCTCGACCAGCCCGAGTTTCTTGACGTCGCTCGGACGTCCATTCCCTGTGCATGGTTTGGTTTTTTGTGCATGTTTGCTTCGCTCGATGGTCCAGGATACTCCTCGATGGTCCTCGCCTGGAGAACATACAAACGTCCGAACGATGCCAACGTTTCGGCAAGTACGCCGTCTCACCGCCGAATGACCTTTTCCAGCCGGTCCGTGAAGCGCGAGAACGGCAGCACGAAGTGGTCGGCTCGAATGACAATCGTTCTGCCCTCGTGCTCGATTTGCAACACACCGCCGCTCTGGAACGAGTGCGTGGTCCTGGAGAGGGCAAAGGCGGCAACTGGAACGTGCGCGAGCCCCCGAGGACGCCTGGTGCTCGGGCGTGCAGCCCGGGGTCCTGGGCAGCCTGGCTCGGAACATGCAACAGGAGATCGACCACAAGAAACTACTTTGCACAAGAAGCCCAGCCCTGAGACCCCAGGACGCCAATTGATTGTTGGTGTGGAAGCGTCGCGCTTTCCATAACAGAGCCCTCGAAAACCAAGAAACCCAGGGCACCCCGGAGGCAAGCAGGGTGTTTCGCGGCAGGGGCTTCCACTGCAGGCAGCCACATGTGAACCCCACCCCCGCAGGTCAGAAAAAGCAACGGCGGGGATTCAGAACATGAAAGATGTCTGCAACCAGGTGAACCCCAGCAAGGGTGTCGGGTACCCCAATTTCTGGTCAGACCCTCATGGGCAGGATCCGCGAGAGGTAGGAGCCTGGACGGTGAGCGCAAAACAAAACAACGTCAGAGCGTTGCACAGGAAAATGGGAAGGACGGGAAAGACTGACTTCGGGCATCGGATGTTGCAGCCAAATGAGCGTCGGCAAACAGAGTGCTGCGCTGGCAGGGTGTCGGAATTTGCCGCAAGCAACTGGAGTTCTCTGGCTTCTGAAAACGTCGCTCGAAGAACTGGAACACGCATGTCGGCGATACGTGCGCATGGCACGTGCGAGGTACGACCTCAAACCTAAAATCAATCCAAACAATCCTCCTCCTCCTCCTCCTCCTCCTCCTCCTCCTCCTCCTCCTCCTCCTCCTCCTCCTCCTCCCCCCCCCCCCTGCTCAATATACACCTCCTCCTCGCCGCCATCCTACAACTCAACTTCCCCAACTTGCATCCTGCCTAGCCCCTTTTCGTGAGGGCGCGCGGCTGGATGACCCGAAGGGGGGGGGGTGGGACCCCCCCCCTTTCTCCGATCCGTCGTCGGGGACCTCCCCCCTCCCCCCCTGTCCCGATCCGTCGTCGGGGAACCCTTCCCGGTCCGTCGTCGGGGACCCCCCCCTCTCCCCCCCTTTCAAAAGGGGGGGGGGTCCGACCCCCCCCCCTCTCCCCCACTTTGGCCACCAATTCAACCCCCCCCTCCCCTCCTTTCGCCACGGCGCCCCCGGTCTCCAGAACCCGACGCCTACCACCCCTAACACAAGAAATCTTATCCTCACCCTTGCCCTAACCCGTAAACCTAATCCAAACCCAAGCCCTAGCCCCAAGCAGCACTCACTACTCAGCACGCACTACTCACTACCCACAATTCACTACTCGCTACTCACTACTCACTTCTCACTACTCACTACTCACGACTCACTATTCACTACCCACGACGCACTGCCCACGACGCACTACTCACTACTCCCTACTCCCTACCCACTACGCACTACTTACTACAGACTACTCACTATTCACGACCCACTACTCAATGTTCACTATTCACTAAACATCACTCACTACCCACTACTCACGAATCACAAACCACTATTCACTACCCACACTAACTACTATCCACTACTCACTACTCACACTTCACTACTCACTACTCACTGCCCACAAGTCACTACTCAGTATCCACTACTCGCTACAAACTATTCCCTACTCCCTGCACAATACTCGCAATTCATACTCACTATTCGCTACTCCGTAGGCACTACTCGCTACCAAATACGCACTATATTCCCCACCCACTACTCACTACTCACTACGGTCCCACTACTCACTCCCTACTCACTACTCCCAACTCACTACTCACGACTCACAACCCTGTGCTCAATACTCGTTTTCACTAAACACTATTCACTGCCCACTACTCACCACTCACTAAGCAGTACTCACCACCCAGTAACCAGTATCCACTACTTCTACTGGGACCTCACAATTCACGACTCACTATGCACTGCCTGGAACCCACTACTCACGATCCGCTAGTCGCTACCTAATGGGACACATTCACCACCCACTACGCACGACCCGCTACATTCTACCCACGTCCCCCTACTCACTAGTCACTAGTCGCATGTCGGTACTCACTACTCACTACTCACGACTTAATACCCACTAGTTTCTTCACGCTACTCCCTACTCGCTACCGACTATTCAATACCCACTTCTCGCTTCTCACTACTCACTACTCACTACCCCTACTCGCTACTCACAACTCACTACTCGCTACTCGCTACGCGCTACCCCCTACCCGCTAGGCACTACTCCCTACTCGCTACTCACTGCTGACTCCTGACTACTCCCTCCTCAATACTCACTACTCACAACGCTTTCTCGCCACTCGCTACTCGCTACTCGCTACTCCCTACTAGCTACTCCCTCCTCGCTACTCTGTACTCGCGAGTGACCACTCACTACTCACAACTCTCTAATCAATGCGCACTACCCAATACTCACTACACACTACTCAATCCTCGCTATTCGCTATTGTCTACTCCCTCATCCCTACCCCCTGTTTGCTACTCACTATGCATTACTCATTATACACTACTCAGTCCTCACTATTGTTTCACAACTCCTGACTCACTACTCCCTTCCCACTACTCACTACCCACTACTCACTACTCACTACTCACTGATTTCTACGCGCTACTCACTACTACCACTACCCACTACCCACTACTCACTATCCACAACTCACGACTCACTGGCTTCACTATCAGGTACCCACTACTCACCAATCGATACTCAAAGCACTCTACTCTGTACTCACTGCCCGAGAGGCCCCATCCCCAGCCCCCTGTTCGGCGCAAAGGGGGGAGGGGGAGGGTGGGTTCGAACCCCCCACCCCCCCTTCCAGCGCCAAGGGGGGGAGGGGGGGGGGTCGAAAATCCCACCCCTCCTTTCAAGGGAGGGAGGGGGGGGGTCTGCGAGCACACACCCCCTTCAGTGTATTGAGGGCCATCCACTGGCGCGCTTTCCCTTTCCGTCAATCCCTACCAGCGCCTGCGAGGAACAACCGCGGGCTCGATCACACCATGGTGCCGGCGAAGGGGGCGTCGGAAAGATGAATGTATGGCGGGTTGGACAAGCCCTGAACAGAAACGTCGTGCCATATGTTGGGAAACTGATGTTACTCTCGCCGGCTTCCCGCCTTCGGAGCCGCCCCCATTTGACTTCTGCCACCTTCCGCCAGCCTGCCGCCGCACTGTCGCCGGGGAAGAGAAGGCAACCTTCGATCCCTCGGAGTCGAGGCCCACTCTCGAACGCATCATACTCACACTTCGCACATCGCGCCCCGCGATGCGTGACGCGCGATGATCTTCGTGCCCTCGCGCCCTTGCGCCGCTCCCTCGGAGGGCAGCCACTCTGGCCCGGACTGTGACGCGCGAAGCTCGATCATCTTCGCACCCCCGCGGGTGATCTGGAAGTGCACGCGAGAACACTGACTCCGGCGTCCCAGGCGCATCGAGGATGCTCCTCGGCTGACCTTTCCAAGGGCGCCCTCAGATTTCGAGAGGCGTCGCAATCGGACCGCTCCAACGCATGGCACAGCAACCGTCGCTGACGTCCTGAGGAGGAGCGCGCAGCACGAAATGAAGTGCCGCGCGTACTCGAAGATCTGAAAGGTGACAACCTGTGGTGGGGCTAAATGCCGAAAGCATCATGGCACTCGTTCGGCTGGCCAAGTCTCTGGCAGCGTCGGCAGATCACTCTCTGGAGTCAGCGCAGAATCCTGCTGAAATCATTGCGTAGCGACATTCTGGGTTGCTAACCTGTCCTCTCCTGGCACGCCTCTTGCCATCGATCCTGCTGGGGACGTCACTGGCCATGCGGCGCGAGGTTTCAGAAGCTGGCCGCCCCAAGTGCAGTCACGCGGGGAGCCGGCCCCCGCGGGCGGTGTGGGGCAGGTGAAGGCGGAAAAAGGCTCGAGGAGGCTGGGCCGAGGAGGGAAAAGGTGGAGGAGGCGAGGTCGAGGAGGAGTGCTCGAGGAGGGAACAGGGGAGGCTGGGAAGAAGGTGCGAGGAGGGTGGGCCGAGGAGCGAAGAGGTGCGAGGAGGCGAGGTCGAGGAGGCGAGCCCGAGGAGGGGGGCGAGGGAGGCTGGGCGGCCGCCTTCCGCATCCCTCCTGGCGCGGCCCAGAGCCTCGCGGAGCCATCTGGTTCCGGGCAGGGGGGTGTCTCTCGCAGTGGGGTCGCCCAGAAGAGTGCAACAGTTCATCCTGGGGCTCATGGCGCGCGGCCTCCCTCGCGGACCAACGATGCCAAAGGCAACGCGTTCTGCCGGCACTCCACACGATCCATCAGGAACGATTGCAAGAGCTATTGCGCACGTGTTCGAGACCCCCTGTGCAAAGAACCCATGAGCCCGAATCCGAGCCATCCAAGAGCCCTGAGAATCTCCGGCCCCCCCGCCTTAGAACCGCTCCAAGCGTCCACGACCAACCTCCCTCTCTCTTGGAGGCGGCTGGGGAGTCTGAACTGGATACGCCAGAGAAAATCGATCGAGAAAGAGGAGGGAAGGGCAAGTCCGTTCAGAATCGGTCCGTGGACCCCTCCTGGGGTTCATCTGGTGTAATTTGCCACCCTGAATCCGTTGTTGACGGTCCCTCGAACCGAGAACGACTTCCGGAGGCCGAAAAAGGCAAAGCACGCTATGGAAACCAGACCCTCGAACCCCTTCTCCACTGCTGGCCGGAACTGGTGCTCGGACACTTCAGACCCCCAGCCAGCTCCAATCTCGAACACCCCCACAATACAACAATTGACGATCTCAAACCTGTGATGTATGTGATAACTTGTTTTGCAGGCGCTCTGTGGTGAGCTTTCGCCCGCCTCGCTGGCTCGTCAGACGGCCTGACATGGAGCGGCGCATTCGGTATCTTCCATTCCCCTCCCCTCTTCGCTCCTGTGCGCGCGTGCTGGCAAGAGGGAGGGCAGTGCCATAGCTGCTTTTGTTTAGAACCGCTCCAAACTCACGCTGCCAACCTCCCTCACTCCCTCCCTGCCTCCGAGGGAGACACGTCGAGGAGCAGCCCGCGAAGCCCGCGGAGAGTGCGCGAAGCCGGCCCGAGGACAAGCACAAGCCACACCTGCCGCCTCGCACCCACCGCGCGCAGCGCCTTGCTGGGGCCACCGGCGGGCGCGGGCAGAATTTACAGTCGGACTTCACTGGACAGGACACGCGAGAGGACACAAGACCATTCCGAGGGCCACATTGCCACAGGAATGCAGGAGGCACGGGTCGCGAGACACAGGACACAAAGGTACGTACCCTTGACTTGGCAGGGTCGACCTACTAACTAATCTGGGCCGCCTGTATGTCCATACCCACTGCGTCTCAGACTTTCTGGGAAGAGGCCCCAGAAGGACGAGGCACAGTGGATATGAAAAACAATGTGGACTCTAGGGTCAGGTCGGGCATGTCCTCCTACAGGCTGATTCTGGAAGGACAAGACAAGTAGACAACAACTAATCAACAATTGTCACACACACGCAAAAATGCCAAACATCGTCACCAGACGATTTCTAACGATTCTCGAATATTCCTCCTGTAGACGGACATGCCCGACTTACATTTATATCCATATCGACTGCGTGTCTGACTTCCTGGGACGGGGCGTCAAAAGACCGAGCACGGTTGTCATGGATAACAATGTGGGCTCAGGAGCAAGACGATGTGTCCATATCCGTTGCGTCTCGGGTGTCTGGGGAAGGGGGCCCGAAACTCCAAGACGCAGCGAATCTGGATGTACATCTTACCCGCAGCGAGGGCCTCTGGGGGCTCCTAGGGTGCGCCAGGACGAGGAGGGCCTCCTCTGGGCGCGCTTGGGGGCCCTGGGAGGGCTTCTGGAGCCCGAGGGCACCCCGAAATGACTGGGAAATGTATGGGAATTCCTTTAGGAGGCGCGCTCAGAGATGGGAGGGCCCGGGAAGCTGCGGAAAGGCACCAAGAGGCTCCCGAAACCCCAACTTCTCGGAAACTCCGCTAAGCCCGGGAAGCCCCCGGAGCCCCCCAGAGCCACCCTGACCACTCTGAGCCTTCCCCATGACCCTCCACGTCGCGTTGTTTTCGCAACGTCAACACCCAGAAGTCTGGACCCCTTCCTTGGAACCGTTTTTTTTGTTCCCGAATCGCTTTTTCACACTCCCGTGGCCAGATAGAGGCCCCCGGAGGCCGAAACTAACGAAAAACCTTCCGTCCCGATTTTTTCGGGACGCGAGGGGGTCTGGGGTGCGCTGGCGGATCTCTGCTCCCGTGAATCTCTCTGAGCACCACCCCCTGCGGCAGCGCGTGGGCGCAAGAAAACGCCCGCGGGCCCTCGCGGCGGCGCTCTCCGTGTCCGAGGGGGGGCGCGGGGGCGCGGGCGGCGCCGCGCCGTGGTCAGGAGGCAACTACTGGGTGGTCTTCGTCGGAAAGATGAAGGAAGATTGAGCCCCACTTGGGGGCTGCTACGCCGGAATAGGCTGTGGATTAAGCGAGATCTGGTCAGATTTAGCAGGATTCATCAGGGCTTAGCGGGATCAACTGGATGAAACTTGGAGTACAAGATTAACTACGGAATTGAAATCCCTGAAATGGAACTGTTGACTAAAAAATTAGTTAAATACCCAAAAGTCACTGCACGTGTTTTGTAATGACGCGACAAGCGTTCCTCATTCTGCAGCTCTCTCCACAAGCACCGCGCACTGCGACAGCTGCAAGCTTCCATCGCGCGTGCCGACAACGGGCGGGGAAACGTTCAGTCATGTATTGGCATGTTACGTCTGAAAAACTGAAATGGGGAACATGGCAACGGATGCGTCGGCGTCGAGAACGCCGACGCAACCGTTGCCATGGTTGGGGACGCATGCGGATGTGACCTAATTTTGAATATGCATGATAATGTGTGTGTGAGATTTTTTTTTGGGGGGGCGGGGTGCGACCTAAATTGGGTCTTCCTTGGTTTGGGAAGGCATGGAGCCGCGACAAAATTGTGGTCTGCCTTGGTTTGGGAAGGCATGCGGGTGCGACCTACGTGGCCTACGTCAGAGCATAGCATAGCCTATCATAGCATAGCATAGCATAGCGCAGCATAGCATAGCATGGCATAACATAGCATAGCATAGCGCAGCATATCATATCATATCATAGCACATCATAGCTTAGCATAGCACAGTGGATCATATCATAGCATATGATTGCATAGCATAACATATCGTAGCGCAGCACAGCATCGCATAGCATAGCATAGCGCAGCATAGCATAGCATAGCATAGCGCAGCATATCATGACATATCATAGTATAGCATAGCTCAGCCTAGCATATCATAGCATAGCCTAGCCTAGCGCAGCATATCATACCATACCATATCATATCGCGATGCATCGCATAGCATAGCATATAATAGCGCAGCATAGCATAGCATATCACAGCCTAGCATAGCATAGCGCAGTCTAGCATACCCTAGCATAACATGGCATACCATAGCGCAACATGGCGCATCATAGCACAGCATAGCATAGCATAGCATAGCATAGCATAGCGCAACATATCATAGCATATCACAGCATCAAAGCAACGGCAACTCAACAGCAACAACAGCAACGCAAAGCACAAGCAACGCAACACAACGCAAAGCAAAGCAAAGCAACAGCAAACACAACGCAAAAGAAAGGCAAATCAAAAACTATGTGCGACAGGAGAAAGAGGTGGACGGCGTTTACCGCTACTACTGAGATTGCTTTCCTCGGGGCTCCAACTCCTAGGTAGGGTCGCTCTGGGATAATATGCGCAAGCGTTTCGTTATCCCTGCCTCTTTCCCTATCTCTTTCTGTCTCTCGTCGACGCGGCTGGAAGGACAGGGGGAGGATGGGACGAAGCAGAAAAGAGGAGGGACGATCAGGAGGATGGGCGTAGAATTGGGGGGGGGGATGGGCGAAAGGCGAGGCGGGAAGAGGAGGGGGGGGGGAGTGGAGGAGGAAGAGGAGGAGGAGGAGGAGGTGCCTTCTATTTGCCCCCACTGCAATCGCCACGTCACGACAGAAGAATGACCGCGAATCGCCGCGACAAGAGTCATGGCCTCAGCTGGCCCCAAGGAGCCCGAACATGGCCCCAAGAGAGCGCCACGCTGTCCACGAGAGAAAATACACGAACGGATTTCGCGCCCCTGTCTTTGGGCACCTCGAAATCGCCCTCGGCCCCCCGAGATTACCATGGCATGGGCCCAGGGGCGCTGCACGAGAGCCCAGCAAGGGCCAGGGGGGGCCGCAGAAGTGCCCGAGACGGTCCAAAATCACACCAAAAGAGCCCTGAGCTTACACGCGCGAAGCTCCAGAGTGACCCCACAAACAAGACACGCGGAGGGCAGTCGCGCATCTTGCATGGCCAGAGACAACGCCCGCACGGCACCAGGAACTCAACAAAAGAGCCCCAATATTGCCCCCCTCCCCCCCCCTCCCCTCCGCACATGCACAAAGCAGACGCGTAATCACACGCGCACGCGCACACAGCATTAAACCACGCAAAAAACAATCACCCACCCGACCACCGCCTATCGCCACCATCCTCGACTTCGACCCATGGCTCCCCCTCCGTCCCCCCCCCCGGCCCCGCAATAACCATGACAATATCATCAGAATTATCCCGCCTCCGCCC